GGGGGGGGGGGCATATGTAATACTTTCAACAATAAAGATTTTTTAAATAAAATTTTAAAAATTCATAATAGCAAAGAGACACCTGATTGGTGATGTTGCTCTTATGTCAATCAGGGGCAAAGCAGATGTACAGTCCTTAGTTCATCCTAGCTTGATGCCTGTGTTGGTGGCCAGAGCTGTTTCATGCCTGAGGCACATAAAAAAATTTTTTTCACAATAGCCTAAAGAGTTAAATGAAGATGTGTACATAACTACAGTTCAGTATCATGGAAATTGGAATGTTTTAAGACTTTAGGAGTAAAATGAGTAAATGTCTTTAAATCACTGTGATACAGTTGTAATAACCTAGTTAATATTTAACATGAAAAGGTGAAAGGGGAGAGCAAATAGTATAGGCATGCCATTTAGGCAGCTTTGCCAAAAAGTTGTATTTAACACTCTCCAGTCTGTTCCCTGCTGATTGATGGGGGAAGGGGCTAGACCAGTGGTCGGCAAACTCATTAGTCAACAGAGCCAAATATCAACAGTACAACGATTGAAATTTCTTTTCAGAGCCAAATTTTTAAACTTAAACTATATAGGTAGGTACATTGTTATTAACTTAATTAGGGTACTCCTAAGGCTTAAGAAGAGCCACACTCGAGGGGCCGAAGAGCCGCATGTGGCTCGCGAGCCGCAGTTTGCCGACCACGGGGCTAGACAAAGGTAGCTTATATGCATGCCCAGTAAGGAGTGAGTGACATGGAAGGCTGATAGCCTGTCAATCACACCTGGAAACAGGTCATTGGCCAGGATGGGCGTGGCCCCTGCAAGCTCAGGGTTACCTAAATATTTAAACTTCCAAACAAAGGAAGTTCAGCCCTTCTCTCTCTCAGGTGCCAGCCCTCCGGGGACTCCTGCTGCAAGGGGTCTTTGCTCCCTTGTGCCCACATGGTGCACGGCCATGTTGGACTCCACACATGGACTGATGGACTTGAATCTGGCCTGAATGCTGAACCACACCTGGTTGCAACATGGAACAGAAACTGCACGCTGGCCTGTTTCTGACTCTGAACTCCCAACTACTCCTCTTCCAGGACTGGCAGAAGGGGCTTTAGGGCCCAAGAATGTAACTTTACACAAATACAGCCTTCTTCCATATCCCGTCTTCCCATGCGAGTCTCAGAAAACTCATTTTCTGAAGATATCTCAAGAGCCTCATTCCTACTCATGTCCTGGCATCAATTGTGATTTGATTTTTATTTTATTAGAGGAGTCTGGTCCTAACAGACTCTTTAAATTCCTCTTAATTTTACCAAGACTCTGTAAATTTTGTTTTTGCAATGTTCTATAGGATTGTTTATTACTTCAACATTTTCTGCGCGTCGGACCAAGGGGTTATAAAATATTGTCCTTCTCCCTCCCCCCTCTCCCCCCTCCCCCCCAAGAAGCTCACAGTCTCTTGGGTATACAGAGAAGTAAGTAAAAAATGATGCTGGTCAAATATTTAAATGATATGCGTGCCCTAATAGAGGTATGCACAAAATTGCCTGAAAGAGGGCAGTTAGGAGGATGACACATGGGCATGTCACTCAAGCCAAGATGTAAGGCTCTATAGGAATTAGCCAGAACAAGCTGCCATTGCTCCTTCTTGACCTTTCAGTTGTAAGAATGGTCCTTCAGGTTGCCGTGTGGGAAGGGAAGGAGTCAGCCTTCTTTCACCCCTTCCACATGCACTGTCCCTCCCATTCTGCCACCCCCACTGAGAGGACCACATCACCATTTTGGTTAGATCAAGTTCTTTATTTACATTACAGTTACAATGTAAATGCTATTCATACTTGAGCCATTAGGTATATCATATCTTTTCCTTTCTTTTCTTATTAAATATAATTTTCCTTTCATCTACTTGGTTTTAAGCCACAGATTCTCTAAGTCTCTAAATGTCCACTCCAAATTTTTGGTGCATCAACTTTTGTATTGATTTATCTTCTTCATCTGTCCTAGAGCCTTATGGCCAGTGCCAAGTTCAAACTGGTGGCCTTTCATGCTGGTGCCATCAGCCTGGATTGCGGCAGGCTAGAGACTGGGTTTCTCTTCACTCTCCTGCCAAGAATGGCTCTTTCTCTCTCCTGGATTCACTATCTGTTTTCTTCTCTCTTAATTTAAAAAAAATTTTTTTTAATATGTTTTATTGATTTCAGAGAGAGGAAGGGAGAGGGAGAGAGGGATAGAAACATCAATGATGACAGAGAATTATCGATCGGCTGCCTCTTGTACAACCCCTATTGGGGATGGAGCTTGCAATCCAGGCATGTGCCCTGACCTGGAAGGGAACTGTGACTGGTTCATGGGTCAATGCTCAACCACTGAGCCACACCGGCCGGGTCTTTCCTCTTAATTTACTCCCTCATGCTGGGTATCTCCTGATACCCCAAGAAAGTATAATTGTTGAAACCGTTCATGTTTGGAGATGGGATTGGAGAGAGAAAGTTAGGTTAGTTAGGGAGCACGAGGACACTTTGGGGTCAGAGGGATATATTCATTATCTTGATTGTAGAGATGGTTACATAGTTGTATACATATGGCAAAACTCATCAAATTGTGTGCACCGTATTGCATGTCAATTATATCTCAATTAAGCTGCAAGAAAATAAAAAGAGGAAAAAGATATGCATATAAAATTCAAAAGTTCATTAACTTATATTGGCACATCTGTGGGTAAACAGGTACTCATATACAGTGCTGGTGGGAATGCAAATTGTACAACCTATATAGAAAGGAATTTGACAATATGTAGCCAAACAACAAATGCACTTAACCTTTGGCCCAGCAATCCATCCCACTTCTAAGAATCTGTACTACACATACATTGGCAGAAATACAAAATGATATCTGTACTATACACTTTGTTGAAGCACTATTTGTAATAGCAAAAGATTGGAATCGATCTAAGTATCCATCAGCAGAATACTGATAAATGAAGGTACAGCTCTACAAAGTGAAGCACTACTCAGTTGAAAGGAAATAAGGAAGGTCCCAATATACTGCTATGGAGTGATCTTTGGGATTTATTGTTATGTGATGATATCAAGTTATGAAACATTGAGGATATTTGTACTTTTTGTTCCTGAAAATGCTCTCTATCTTGATCTGAGTGGTATCCACATGGGGTGTATAAATATGTAAAACTTCATTGAGTTACACATGACCATATGTATGTTAAATCTCAATTTAAATTAGAAAAAGTATATATATAAATGGGAGCAGACTGAAGAAAGAGTGGGAGAAGAGGAAATGGAAACAGTGGGCCTTGGCCATGAACAGGCAGCACTGGTTGGAACAGACTGTAATGCCACGGGAGCGTTTTTCTCTCCCTCCTTTCTTCTTTCCTTTCTGCCTGCCTTTGCTCCTTCCTTGTTATAATGGGAAAGATTGAAGCACATGTAAAAGCTCATGGTTGATGAGAAAGACCAGTTGAAAAGTAAGGTTGACTCCATATAAGAAAAATAAAGAATAGTCTATAGTGCAAGGTCCTTAGAAAGTAGGGGTTGTCCTTGGAAGAGAGACACCAGCCCAATGGGGGGAAAGGAGGCTGGAATGGGAGCAGCTTACAGGAGATTGTAGGACTGGGAGCACCAGGCACACCAGTACTCTGTAAGGGAGCGAGCTGAGTGGGGCATGCAGTGCGAGTGCAGAGAGCTGGTTGCAGAATCCAAGACTTAGAAAGGGTCTGAAATAGTATCGCAGGGAGTGGGAGAGTCAGAAATGAGCTGGACAGGAAATGTCAGGTGTTAAGGAATGTCAGATAGTAAGGGTCTCTTTGAAGTTCATGAGCACATGCCTTTCTCCAGAAGGGCTCAGAGGAAGCAGAAAGTTGGATCCATCCAAAGTTGGATTTTGCCAGCTAGGTACAACTAAGACCTAAGGGGGGTTATATAATTGGCCAAGCATGTTATTAAAATGATGAATCATTCAGTCTGAGGTGGATAAATGAGGAAGTAAAAAACAGCAGAGGGTTGATTGATGAGAAGTAAACAGAAGGCTCAGAGGATGGGCGTTGACGTGAGGTTGGAAAGTGATTGCGGGAGCTGGTGGGAAGGGATTGAGGAGAGAGAGAGAGAGAGAGACTCTTGGAAAGCAAAAGGAAGAAGAAACAAAGAAAGTTGTAATGGGACCAGTTGAAAGCTGTGAGTCAGCATTTCCCAAAATGTGTTCTGAAGAATATTACCAGATAAATGGCTCGTGCACTAATAATGCATCATTAAGATTCTGAAACATCTTGTATCACAGAGGCCTGTACTGTGTTTAACAGAGCACTTTCTGAATCCTGGAATTACTAAGCCTTTTCAGTGGAACATCTATTAACATTCTTCTAAACTAGTGTTCTTCCAAACATCTTTTAGCATCTCTGCTTTGTCACATGCTGAAACTCTTACATTAACAGGATGAAGTGAATAATTATCACAGCGTGTGATCATTACTTCTATATCTGCTTTCATGTATTTCAATATGAAAAGGTTATTTTTCTATTAAAAGCATGTATAAGAGTAGAACATATTTTTAAAGGTTAAAGGGGGTATGGTTCATGAAGTTAATACTGTTAGGCTTACCTCATTCTGCTATAAAGGTGAATAAAAGACAACACTATTGTGTTGGGTAGAGTCCAGATTGAACCACTAAGATTATTATCTTCGTCTGCATTAATAAACCTCGTTTGAACAGTAAGCAGCCTCTCTTAAAACCAATTACATTCCAGCTGCAGAAACACTTTGAATATAATAAAGGTCCTGATGTTAATCACATCAAATGTGTATTTCTATTCTTTAAACTCCATAATAAGATTTCTACCATATACAGTAAAAAGAATTAAAAAAAATAGCCATTACAACGTATAAATAGAAAAGGTCTCCATTTTCTTTCACTTCATTTCTGACACATTTAAGAACAATAAAAAAGTAGGTATCTGATGTAAGCTGAATTCATGTTTTTGCTGCCCATCCCTGAAGGAGGATTATACTTGCCCACCTCCTTGACATTAGTCTTGGCCAATGAAATGTGAGTGGAAGAGACATGAGTTACAAGCAGAAGCTCCAAGAGCCACTGCCTGGTTCACCGTGACCTGTCTCCTTGTAGACCAGCAATGTTCTACAGGCTGCTCTGTCAGCCTGACTCCCTGGGTAAAGGTGACACAGAGCAGAGCTTCAGCTGATCCTTAAAGGACGCATAGCATTAGCAAGAAATGCCAACAGGAGGGGGTCTTTTGTTACCACAGCTCAACCCAGTTTGTGCTGATTAATACAAAAATTATATCCTGTACCCTCTATTCATGTTTCCCAAACTGGCAACTGTTAATGAACAGAAATAGAAGTAATCGCCATTGGCATAAAACTCCCTCCAGAGAATGTCTGGATCACTGGTGGCCAATTAGCTTCATCTCTCATGTCAACTCTATCAGACTCATAGTGACAACTTGAATCAACTCTGTAGAGAAGGGTTCTGAAGCCATGGCCTTGCCAGAAGGAAAGAGTGCCATATATATGTGTATGTCGCCCAGGAAAGGTGATGTAATAAGTTGTCCATCCCTGGTCTATAAGGCACAACCTATGCTCACTATCATTTCTGTTATTTTTCTCATTGGTGCAGGAGGCATTATTTTTTTTAATGCCCCTAGAAATAAATGGAAGTTAGTTTCCTAAAATATTTAGACCAATAAATAATTTCATTTTATTTTACTTATTTATTTTAAAAAATATTTTTATTGATTTCAGAGAGGAAGGGAGAGAAATACTAACCTCAATGATGAGAGAGAATTACTGATTGGCTGCCTTCTGTACACCCCCAACCGGGGATCAAGCCCCGCAATCCTGCCATGTGCCCTTGACTGGAATCAAACCCAGGACCCTTCAGTCCGCAGGCCGACACTCTACCCACTGAGCCAAACCGGCTAGGGCAATAATTTCATTTTATTTGCTGATAAAGGAGAAAACAAATTGTTTCTATCAGAGCTAATCACAGAATTCCTCCTCAGGCAGAGACTGTCTTTGATAGAAATATCTTAAAAGGATGTTTTAGTTATTAGAATGGCTCTCACGGCCAAGTCTGGATGGTTTGTGGAGAAAGGGAAATAGCTAAACTGTTTTGCTTTGGAAATGCGCAGTAATAGTTGGAGTTGTCACTGAAGGAACTGGGAGGAGTTAGGGAGAGGTAAGGAAGAGGGACAGGGGTTCAACAACATGGCTGGAGGCTGGGGAAGAGACAAACCCAGGAAGTTCTCCTGGGGATGGAATGGCTGAGGGACTTTGAAATGAGATGCTTAAATATTACGTTGCAAGTCTTTTGCCCTTCTATGCTTTAATGTGACGTCCCTAACACTAACACACATACCCACTTGTTATGGTCTGACCTGCAACCTTCCCCCCACCCCCAATACATATGTTGATGTCCCAATACCCCCCCATACTTCAGAATGTGGCCTTATTTGGAAAAAAAGGGCTGTTGCAGTTGTAATTAAGACGAGGTCATACTGGAGAAGGATGGGCCCCAAATCCAATATTACAATGTCCTTATAAAAAGAGGAAATTTGGACACAGACACACTCAGAGAGAGAGAGAACGCTGTGTAAAGAATGGAGCTATGCTGCCGCAAGCCAAGAAACTAGCAGAAGCCAGGAGAAAGGCCTGGAACAGGTCCTGTCTCGGTGCCTTCCAAGGAAGCACAGCCCACCAACACCTTGATCTCAGACTTCTAGCTTCTAGAACTGTGGGAACATAAACTTCTGTTCTTCAAGCCGCTCTGTGTTACTTAGTTATAAGAGCCCCAGGACACACCATACCACACACACACACACACACACACACACACACACACTCCATTGCCCCAGTCTTTAGGAGAGTCTGCAGCATGCACACAGCCGTGAAAGGTGGCACAGGGCATGCAGGAAGCAGAACACAAAGTGGAGACCAAGAAAGCAGTGGAAGCAGAGACCGGTGGCAGAGGGAATACAGGCCCTTCCGTACGTGCCGGCAAGAATTCTCAGAGCTATTGGGAAAGTATCTGGCCTACTTATGAGGGATAGAGATTTGAGGCACTTTTTACTAAAGCATAAAGAGCCAGATGAGCTCGGCAAGCTGGGGAAGTTAGAAACACCTAGTGGCTGACATCTGGCCCACACGACTAATGATGTCAAGTGGGTGTCTCTGGTTCACACTGTCAGTGAGTAGTATGTAAGTCAGGAGCAATTAAAGGGAAATGGCTCACTGCACCATCCCTGAAAAGAGCAGTCCCTGCCACAGCCCAGGCTGCTCTGTCCTTGGCCTAATACTCATTATCCCCTGCACTGCGATAATGAGTTTGCTGCTTTGTGGGCTTTAGAGATGAGCTTGGTTTAATGCCTGCTGATTCATAAGACACAGGGGCCCTGGCCTGCCTCTGATGCGATGTGTGCATTTGAGTTGGGAATGATTTCTATTTCATACTCTCCAGCAAAATGAGGTTGGGTTGCTAAAGAAGGCCAGCTAAGCATCCAGAGACAGAGACCTGAGAACTCCACCCCGGGCAGGGGGGTGGGGAAAAGGAAGGAACAGGCACATTGCCTCTTAGCCCTCCCGCTTTTAGCTCCTCTGCAAGCAAGCTGTTGCCAAAAAGCATTAGAGCTGCTGCTGAAGCCTATCAGATGGGAATGACTCTGAGCAGAGCGCGTGTTTGTGAAAGGCGGCCTATCCCACGTTAGGCACCAACTGGACACAAAGATGATTCAACGGGAGTTGGTAATCCAGAAGGGAGTGTCAACAATGAAATACAGGACAAGTTTCAATGAAATGTTGGCCAAACTGGGCAAAAATGACATGGTATGGGTACGCAGAAGAAAAGCTGTCTTAGCTGTTTCTTGTGAGATCAGGGAGGGCTGCACGCAGAAGGCTGCATCTGAAGGCCTTCCAGGGGCAGGGAAGCTGGAAGGGCTATTTCCAACCGATGGAGCTGTAGGAGTTCTGATAACTTAGTGCTTTTTCAGAGCCTGGACGTGTAGTTTGGAAACTGTAGACGGAGAGGTTTTATTATTTGTTGTTGTGTTAACTTTTCTTTTTTTTAAAATTCCATGTTCAGGAATCTGTACTTTATTCTAAACACAGTGGGGAATGCAGATTTTGCAAGGTGACCTGTGTTTTAGATGTGTATCTGCAATTTACAGACTCAATAAAAAATGAACTCCCTTCTTGTAGGCCCAGCACTCTGCCAGGCACCACAGAGCCAAAAGGAAGACCACAGTCCTTACTCTAAGACAGTGGTTCTCAACCTTGGCTGCACATTAGAATCACCTGGGGATCTTTTTAAAATCCTGATTTCTGGGCCTCATCCTCCGGAAATTCTGTTTCTTTGTTACTAATGTTGTGGCCCCACCCCATAACAAAGAAACAGAATTTC